TGTTGGGCTTTTTTTTTTATAGCGCAAAAAATAAAAACCGCACTGGCGATCAAATACCACTGAAAGAAAGCTCAATTCGTGGGAAAAAAAAGGACAGAAATGTAATTTGGGTGCAGCGTTGCATAACTGCGCAATTGTCAGTTAAAGTAACACAGCGCCGTAATGCAAAAAAAGGCACTGCAGGGGGGGGGGGGGTAAATCCTCAGGAGGGCAAGTGGTTAAAGAAAGAAAAAAAATCGAGTTCCTCTCTAAATTCCCTTTTTATTTACCTTAAGCAGCAGCCACACTGCAGCCCTGAGCCTTCTCTTCTTTTTACTTCCTGGAAGGGTCCTTCCTCAGGTGTCCACATCAGAGCCTGCATGACATGGACATTTGACATGACCAGTAGAGAAGTCCTTTTAGATTCCAGAAGAGGATATCATCATGGGGGGGCAGTCTTGGGGGGGGGTATTGCAGCGCTGGATCAGGAGTCACCCTACCTAGAACCGGCAGAGGCAAGGAGGAAAAAAATGGTTCATTCATAAAAGTGTAGGATGCTGTGTGATCCATGTGCCTGTATTTACAGGCCACAGACGGCTCACTAATCACTGCATCACAATTATTTATTATGAATGAACAATCCGTGCTGCCAGGGGTATGCCTTCAGCCCAGACAGTTTGACCCACTTTAAGCCCTCAAGCACACTTGAAGTCATGATAAAAATTTCAGTTTTTCAGCTTTATCGTTTTTGCATTAGCGTTTTTCTGTGTTTGTGGGCTTTTTTTACCCCCAATAAAAATGTTGGTGGGGGTGCCAAAAAAAGTCCAAAAACACTGGTTTGCTGTGTTTTGACGCGACGCGTTTTTCAGCGTTAGAGCGTTTTTACAGCTAAAAAAACTCCTCTAGAAACCCACTAGTCCCAGGGGTTTTTTTTCCAGCCAATCCCCCCCACCGAGGACAAATTCCTCCAAATCCCTCCTCTATCTAAAACCCCCCCCCCCCCCCCCCCAAATTACCCTTCCCAGCATAAAATCCCTCTTACCCAAATCTCCCCAAAGCCTATCCCAGCACCACCCTAGATCCGGTCATAGCAGAGAGTAGGGAAACCAGTGGCCGTGGCTGTGCCCCTAAATGGCAGTGCGCCCTAGGCGGCCGCCTAACTTGCCTAGTGATAGCACCGACCCTGGATATTATTATTATTATTATTATTATTATTATACAGGATTTATATAGCGCCAACAGTTTTCTCAGCGCTTAACAATATAATGGGAGACAATACAGCAACAATACAGTTCAATACAAGAGGGTTAGGAGGGCCCTGCTCCTTGGAGCTTACAATCTAAGAGATAAAGTGGTATCTTTACCTCTCTATATAGTGGCTGGGTTCTGGTGTGCAGCGGTTTCACCTTCTGTCTTTTGACCCATGTTGGAAAGCACACAATTTTGCATGCATTTCCGACGCACATAGATGTGAATCTACCCTAAAAAGATGAGCTCTGGGCACAAAAAACTCTCATTTAAATACGTTCCTCAATAGTCACTAAGGGTATAAATCTACTCTGTGTGCACTAAAAGTCTTTGCAAACACAGATATTAACATGTAAAAAGTAGCGATGTCATCATCACTGTGCAGAGCTGTGGGAGGGGTCCAAAAGATCTACCAACTACAGGCTGCCTGCAGAATACTACAGAAGGGGGAGGATAAAAGACCAGTCACCCAATCAGGAGAAAGAGAAACATTGACTGGTCTTTATTATGGGTAGCTTTTATTATAGGAAGCTCTAGCACAGAGGTAAAGTCTTACACTGTATTACTGCACAGATCTGGGAGAAATACACAAATACACTAAGATTCAAGGAGTTCAGCTTTACCAGATCCAATTTGTGTTCATGGTAAATGCAGGCTGTGATGCAGGTGGAGAGCGGATATAAAGCGGAGTTCCAGCCGTTTTTGTATTTATTAGAAGTCAGCAGCTAGAAAAACTGTATCTGCTGACTTTTAATAAACACACACTTACCTGTCCCGGGGTCCAGCGATGTACTCACCCGCGCCGTCCCTTCTCTCCTCCACTGCACCGGTTATCAACATAAGCACCAGGCAACAGCTTGCAGCTTCACAGCCTGGTGCCCTTTGCGCATGTGCGAGTCGCGCTGCGCCTCCTGATTGGTCCAGCAGTCTTCTGGGACCCGTGAAAGTTCCCAGGAGACTGCAGGAGGAAGGAGGGGACCGAACTTTCGTGTCACTCTGCCTCTGCAAACTGAGGCAGAAGTGGGAGCGGGTACCTGTCAAAACCAGGTACCCACTCCCCCTCCCTCCCAAAAGGTGCCAAATATGGCAGTGCAGGGGGGAGAAGCCAAACAAGCGGAGCTTCACTTTTGCGTGGAAATCTGCTTTAAGTATCAGGACACTTCTTTGCGCTCAGTCTGCACTGTGTGCTGAACAAGGCGCATACAACCTGTGTACCATGGATGGAAATACACACAGATGTCCATGCTCCTGCACTGACAGCTACAAAGCGTCTAGTGCACTGAAACTATGCATCTCTACTGCCGGTATCTCAGAGACCTAAACAAGATTGCCTTCATCTGTACTAATCAGAGTCTAAAAATAATACATAAACAAGTATGGAAACAAATGCACTACACTGTACATGATGCACAGAGGGATTCATAATTACTTTTAATGCCAGGATGCCTGAAATGTATTACAAAATCTGCAAACTTTCAGGTCACTTCCAGTAAACACTTCACATTAAGCCTTTGATTACCGGTATTTAGACACAATAAATAATGAGACATGACCATTTGAGCAATGTTACTGTCAGAAACGTTGGAGAGCGCAATTTCTACAGAGTATTTCATTATTGCAGTATATAAAAGCATCACCTGTTTATTAATTTGAAGTACGGGTAAATAAAACCTTTAAATCCCCCATGCTGTTTACTCATTAACTGATGTCAGCCATCACCCGCACTCTCGCCTTGTAGACGTCTTTGTTAACCATTTTGGACCCATATTCAATGAATGTAGGAATAAGAGTCACAGAAACCTACAGTAACAAGTGTAAATCTCATGTGGCAATTTCCTTGGAGGTTACAAATATAAAAAACAAGGAAGGAGGAGGAGAGACAAGTGCCTGTGTGGCACCACAACAGAGATAGATGAATGCAACCAATGTACCTGATTGTTAAAGCGTATATGAGGCTAGGTTCACACCTAAAAAAATTTTTATTTTTCTTGTTGCTAGGCAGATTTAAAAAAAACGCATCAAAAGATGGAAAAAATGCAACAAAAACACACTATATGCATATCAGCAGCATTGCTATTGAAGTCTATAGAACCAAAGATGCAACATTTTGCGTTCAAAAAAGTCCCGGACCCTTTCCAAAAAACGCACCGGTGAAAACACGGAGATGTGAACATGTCCCATAGAAAATCATGTTAAATAGACTGTACTGCGTTTCTGCAAAATGCTACAGAAAGCGCTTAGGTGTGAACCTAGGGTAAGGGGTACAAGGTCAAATGTAAAATCATACAAATATTTCCATTTTTATTAATCTGAACGATCTTGACATTTGTAAACTTACATTGTGAAGGTCCCCACACATTTACTTCCTTGAATTCTGCGACCCGTAGTCTATATGCCCTATGCATAGGCACTGCTGTGTCGCAGATTCACAGAGCCTGCTTTCTGAACTACAGAGGTGCTGAGAGGAGGAATCTCAGGAGGACAGGAAGGAACTCCCTGCTTGCAGGCAGCAAAGGACCATGGGGTATGTAGTCCTTACGCTAAGTTTCTACTAGCTTCAAAACCAGGCATTTGGTGAGCTTTTTTGAATGCCTGTCAAAATTGTGCACATTGCAGTGCTGTTCACATGGTCACATTAGCGTCACATCAAAATTGACCTGACGTGTTATTGGCAGGCTTTACTGCTCCCCAAACACTTCCACTGAAGCAAATATGAACGCGCTGCAAACGTGCCACAAAAGCCCCTATGGCGTTTACAACATTGTATATAATACAAAAGCGGCTACAATAGAAAACCAACAAGGGAGGGGCATCTGGCAAGCGTTTTTAATAATGAGGCGTCAAAAAAGCACCAAAAAACATGCCACCAACTTACGCATCTTAAAGCATTTGGTGTGTTAATGGCTGTTCATATTTCCTGACACATCTAAATGAGCCATTGGGAATGGAAAGTAAACAGCAGAGGAGAAGCTGCAAAGCATGCAGGGAATCCAGAGAGTTGTGGAAAGAGACGGTCATGCGACAGGCACAACTCACAACATGAAAGAAAGTTTATATTGGATTGTCAATATCTATTGTTTTTTGTATTGTTATTACAATGCTCATAAAATTAAAGTATATGCTGTGACCTAAGAATTCCTTTAAATTAAATATATTTTAAAGTGAACCTGTCATTAGGCAAAACAATGTGAACCAATGTTTTAATGGAAAAGGGCTTTTGATGGCATCAAAGCTGCTTCTCCCATTTAGAAATCAACAAGGAATGCAAAACCAACTGCAGATTAAGGGCCAGTTCACACCACAAAAACGCACTCCGGATGCATTTTTGCTTACAGTTCACACTACACACTGTTCCGATGTGTTTTTGATGCATTTTGCTGTGTTCCAGGCAGTTCTGTGAAAAAAACAATGCAGGGTATTCTACTTTTTTTCTGCACCAGAAACTGACTGGAACTGATTGCACTGGTGTGAACTAGGACCATTGGAATACATGAAAAACACTGTGCATGCATTTTTGATACAATAAAAAAAAAAAAAACGCACTGGAATGCATCTGGTGTGAATCAGCCCTTAACTACTTGCCAATGGCAGATAGCCGAATGACGGCTACACTGCGGCCGGCCAGATCTGGGAGGGCGTCATATGACGTCCTCCCAGAACGCGCTCTCCTGCGTGCCCCCTGAGGTGCGCACCCAGCGATCTCCGTGATCGCTGTGCCCTACGGACACAGCTGATCACGTGTTGTAGTAAAAGACCAATCACAGCCAATGACACGCTTATCACCGGGAAATGCAAATGCTGGTTCTCGGCTGCACTTTCCTCACGCTGTCAGAGCGTGAGGAAAGTACTGCCGAGAACCGGCAGTTGTCAGAGCAGGGATCGGCACCGATCATCAGAGCACTGATGATCAGTGCCCTGATGATCGGTGCCCAGCAGTGCCACCCACCAGTTCCGCCCACCTGTGCCCAGCAGTGCACCCTCCTGTGCCCACCAGTGCACCCACCTGTGCCCACCAGTGCACCTGTCCCAGCAGTTGTGCCAGTCAGTGCCCAGCAGTTGTGCCAGTCAGTGCCCAGCAGTTGCGCCAGTCAGTGCCAGTTGCCTATCATGTGCTGCCGCCTATCAGTGCCGCAGTATCCAGTGCCACCTCATTAGTGCTGCCTATCAGTGCCACCTATCCGTGCCGCCTATTAGTGCCCTATCAGTGCCGCCTATTAGTGCCCATCAGTGCTGCCTCATCAACGCACATCAGTGAAGGAGAAAAATTACCTGTTTGAAAAAAAAAAAAGTTTCTTTGTTTCTATTAAACTTTTTTTTTTTCAAATGTTTTGCAATTTTTTTGTTTATAGCGCAAAAAGGAAAGTGCCCAGCGGCGATTAAATACCACCGAAAGAAAGCTCTATTTGTGAGAAAAAAATGATAAAAATTTCATATGGGTACAATCTTGCATGACCGCGCAATTGTCAAAGTGTGCGACAGTGCTGAAAGCTGAAAATTGGCCTGGTAAAGAAGGGGGTATAAGTGCCCGGTAGGCAAGTGGTTAAGGAACCTGTTATTAAACCCATGAATTATATGAGAAGTGTCTCAGTCTGATTTTAAATGCATTTGAAAGCAAGCTGCATTTGCACATTGAACTTGAGGTATTGTCACATAACATCTACTGAGCTAAATGGTGTTTCAGCACACCCTAAGAGGGGTTTACTAGAACATTAGCATCTACTTAGGATTTACATATCCCCTATATACAGTAAATGCTGACATTTCTCACTCAAAGTCATCACCATCAGGACCGGTCAGGAGAGAAATAGGGTAACTGCCATTGCTGTCTACTTAATGAAGCACTGACTTAAAACAAGTATGCAGCCAGTGAAGTCAGGACATGACATACTAAAAGCAGGATGACAGGATCAAAACTTGGACCTTTTGGTCTTTGATTTGGCTTTAGAACCTTTGATCAAAGCTTGAACCTTTAATTGGACTTTAGATCTTTTATTTGGACCATGGACCTCAGATCAAAGCTTGGACCTTTGTCAATAGCAGCTCCCATATCTTTATCATGACAACTTCACTTTAAAGTAACCCTGTAACTATAATCAGACACCAACATATAACAGTAGGTGCCAGAATATATTCTTTTGATGTTTGCTCCAAAAAACAGAGAGTTTTTTTGGAACAGAAAACTGAGCTTTGGCAACCCCATTGCCACCCTGAAACAAAATAAGAGGTTTGCATTCCCCTGGCCCCTTACCTTTCCACCTGGTGTTAAGCCCAATTCACATACTTACCTGACCAGCAATTCCAGTGCTGTCCTGCTGTGATCAATCATGCCTCTGTCCCACATCATGTCCTGCTCTGCCACCTTCATTGCTGACGTCATCAGGTGCCAGTTGTCTATTCCTGGTTTGCTGACGTCATCAGGCGCCAGCTGCCTCTTCCTAGTTTAGGCAGCCCAGCACCCTATATACATGCTGACAGGTCTGCCCTCCTCTAGGCACTGGGTGGAACCTGAAGCATCCTGGGATTTAAAATGTGCATATCCCAAGAGAGACACCATTCTCGCTTGGACAAGATTGTCAGCAGAGGGGAGAAGCAACAGACTAAAAAGGGGCAGAATAAAAAAAAGAAAAAGTAAAGTAAAAACAAATAATTTTTTACATTGCGAAGGAGGAGGTAGGGGTTTGCAATAATGTCTAGTTCATCTACTGCGGAATATCAGCTTTAAAACAAAGTTTCAGATCAATGAGTGAACTGCAGTTATCCAGGAAATATGTAATAGTTCTAAAAATTTAGTCCATTCCGTTTACCATTATCTCAATACATAGCAGTCATAATTCACAAAGCTCCACACATGTTCATTGGCAGGGTCTGGTTCCTGGTGCTTGTACTGGGAAGAGGGCTGCAGAACTATGGATATGCACAATGAAAAAAACTAAAGCTTTAATCAGGTTGGCCCAATTTGACAGAAATGTGCCTCTAAGTGCATTACACCAATTAAATAATATTTTCAAAATCATACAGAAATGTACAAAATGCACCATAAACACAGCTACACAAAAAAACAAGACATAAAATATATGTAGGATCAGTGGTGGATGGTGGGTACCATAATGTGCTAGATCTTGTTGAGATGACCACATTCAAGTAAAAAAAGGCTTTATTGGTACACATCCATTAAAACCATTACAATAACAGCCTCAATTCTCCTGTTGTATTGGTTTTAATGGTTTTGTACCAATAAAAGTAGTCTTTTTTTTTTTTTTTTTACTGGAGTGTGTTCTTCCACTATCCTGTTGATTACTCAGAAATGAGCTTGATGCACACCCTGTAGCCACGTGGGAAAGGTGAACCAGCCTGGAGTGGGATTGTACTGATTTGACTAAATTGTATCTTGGATATCAGAACCAGCGTGCAGGCAGTGCTACTGGTATACACAGAAGAGACTCAACATCCCTATTCCACAATGTGATCTACTGCCAAGTCCAAGAGCTATTACATAGGATGCATCAGAACACAGCTTAGCCTATGCAAATACTGACTTTCAGAAAGTCAATACCTGCATAAAACCCTCAGAGGCTCCAACAGCACCATCAGAAAGCCGACTGTGATCAGAGGCACAAAATTACATTCTTATCTTAGAATAATATTTCTTTGCTCAGTACAGGTATACTTTAACTAATCTTTTATTTGTTCTACAGATGCAAGATTGTGGTGTGAATTCTTGTATCTAATAAGCACGACATCAATTACTTCCAGTAACGGCCAGGGCAGCCTTTCTCAATGTCTTTTAATCACAGGAAGAGCTTTTAAAATAATTTTCAGGTCCCAAGGAACCCATGCTACAATAAAGTAATTGGGGATCACTGTGAAAATTCCCCTTATGCTGATGGTCAGTAAGAAGAATGACCCCCTTAGGCTACATTCACAAGGGCAGTTGCTGGCAAGATCAGTAGATTGTGATGGTTCTAAAGGCAGCATGCGTTCATTTTGTGTGTGTGAACAGCAGCAGCTGTCATATTTGTATTCTGTACAAACCAATGGCTGCTGCCAGCAGTGTTCACATGTAGCCACTTATCTGAGGTTACATGTGAATGGAGGCTTGGACTGACCCTGGACATGTCCAGGGACATGGTTCTGCAGAGTTTCAAGCTCCACACAGACTGGCTGCCGCCAATCAGCCAGTTTTTTTGTGGCCATAGCAGAGACTGCATCTGCATTCAGCAAAATATTTGCTCCCCATTGCCTGTGTGCAACCTTACAATGGTAGTTAGAATGGCTATCATGCTCATCCAATATGAACTCAGGCATGTTTGGAGTACGAACATGCATAAGCTTTTCCACCAGGAAGCTGTCACTCTGGACAGCCAATCATACGTGATGGAGACATTCCCCGCTCCTTGTGTACATGTAGCTGGGGGAGAGGGAATGCTTCTGCTGCTTAAAATTGGCCGTCTGCAGTGACAGCTTCCTATGGGGTAGCCCATACAGGTTCGGACCTGTGTCTGAACTCACTTGAGCTCAATCCTAATGCGCATGACATTGCCAAGTGGTATTGGCCCTGAGACAATCATGAGATAAGAGGTCAATCAACCACAGCTCAAGGAACCCCCTGGAGCAGCAATTCTAAACCAGGATTCTGTGGAGCCTTAGGGTTCCTCCAGAGCAGCCTCTCTCAACCTTTTTACTCCAAAGGAACGCTTTTTTTTTTTTTAAATGTTCACGCCTCAAGGAAACCGTGCTAAGAATAGGAATTAAGAACATGCCCCTTACATTGGTGGTCAGGGGAAGAATGCCCCCCTTATATTGATGGCTAGAATGTCACCCCAATAGGCAGCTTTAAAGTGATTGTAAAGGATTTTTTCTTTTTCTTTAATAACAAACATGTCTATACTTATCTGCACCTTCTTAACTGTACCTTCTCTACATACCTGTACCTTCTATTGCACAGAGCAGCCCCGAGCCTTCTCTTCTCGGGTTCACCGCTGGCGTGCCTGGCTCCTCCTCTCTGGCTAGCGCCCCCAGTAGGAAGCCACTTCCCATGGGGGCACTTGTGTGGGCTCGCTCTTGAGCCTCACTGCTGCATCCATTGACACAGACAGTGAGACTCTGAAGTTAGAGGAGAGAAGAGCTGAAGACGTGCACAGTGCTGGATTGAATGAGGGCTCAGGTAAGTAAAATGGGGAGTGAGGGGCTAAAACCGATGCCGAAGGAATGCATTAAGATAAAAAAAAATGTGTAGGCTTCAGAACCACTTTAAAGATCATTGGTGCATGCTACTTGCTCTATCAAGTAGTGATGGACCTAGATCTATGCAGGCAACTTTCCATAAGAGATCAATTACCCACAGCTCAAGGAACCCCTACCTGTATAAGAACCATAGGGTTCCATGGAACCCTGGTAGAGAATGCTGCTCCAAAGGTTGCTAGGGGTCCTAGAGCTGTGGCTGATTGACCTCCCATTTGATAATGCCTGCATAGTTCTGGGTCATTGCCACAGCAACATGGCACCAATAATCTTTTTAGCTTCCTATAAGAGTGACAACCTAACCAACTCTGTAAGGGGAGGGGGGAGCAGTATTCATTTCACTGACCATTAACATAAGTACCATTACCCCACCAATCTCTGAAAATTTGATTTTATCAGGGGTTCCCCCCAAGAACTGAAAGCTTTACATTACCGCACTGGGGTACAAAGGTTGAGAAAGGCTGCTCTGGAGGAACCCCGGTGGAGAATACAGTAGCTTTATACACATACATGAACTGTTTTATAATGGCAATACACAGTAAAACAATAAAAGTAGCATGAGCACAAAGCCACATTCCAAACATAATTAGATCACTTGGTGTAACAATATCAATTTATAAAAATCATTATGTAAGGGTTACCATACATGTTACAATCAACTTTAGATTTACCAGAACTCTGTAATATGGGGCAGACCCTTGCATTACATAGCTGATGATAGGTCTAAAAGAAATTGTACAATCAGATTGCAATGTGTGTAACAGAAACAGCTTTGTGATGTGCCAGGATAGACTAAGCAAAACTCTAGATACTATATGCACTGCGCAGGTAAATGATCAGTACATTAAAAAGCAAAGTTTTTTAGCGAAGATCTATGGTATAAAGCAGGATTCAGGGACCTGTGTAGCACCTGC